CCCTCCCCCACCCCCGCCATCTACTTTTTCCGGTGTAGAGCAGCCTGGTGGTTCCAGTAGCACCTCTCGATAGCTATAATGCAGCCATCGGGTGAATCACCAGCTGTGGAATCATTTGGAAATCTTGTTAAAAATGCACATTGCGATTCAGAAGTTGTGGAGCAGGGCCGAGGCACTGCACGTGAGTGAGTGCATGCTTTTAGTGCACTTCTTGGGTGTGACCTGAAAGCAGTACGATTTTGACGGTGGTGTGTCAAAGGGACCTTTGTGTCTGGAAACACCCTAACTGGGAGGAAACTCGTGGATCTAAGACCTTCCACTAAGAGGTCATTCCTTACCTTTGGGAACAGGTTTTTGTTTGTGTGTTTACTTTAGCATTTTAATGTGTTTTGGGTGAAAGTGTACACACCAAAGCAGCTTTCCATTTGACAATTGCTACACAAATTATTCAGCCTTTCATTCACAAACTCACTGACACCCAGTCAACTATGACTCACAGCTACCCTATAGGGCAGGGTAGAACGGCCCCTGTGGGTTTCCAAAAGGCTGCAAGGGGGCCAGAGACCTCATCCTGAGAGTCTGGTGCTTTTGGAATGCTGCCCGTGTAGTTATCCACCCAACCTGTGGCCCACTCTGCCTCCAGGGCCATTAGTTAGTTACAGTTATCATTTATTACGACATAACAATGTTCTTTAGTTGCATTCTGGTTGTTCTGCTTCTAGTACTCTCCTTTCCCTGCCCCACTTTAGCGTAATTGCTGGCCCTTCTGGCTCATACAGAATTTTCTTGTTGTTGCTTCTATATTAAGGTGACCGCTTTTGGCAGGCCAGCCCCAATTTTGGGCGTTTTAAAAAAGTCCCGATTTTTGGAAAGAATACACGACAAGCTAGGGAACGGTCTATTTGGTCCATATAGACCACATTTTTAATCAAGAACTCCCCCTCCCCTCCTCCCCCGTCAATGGTGTCCCACTTTAAATCTGGTCACCTTGTTCTATATGTCTTTTGATTTCAGATGACTGGCTGCTCACAAGCTTTAAGACCCCAGTCCCTGCCCACCCAAGTAGGATGTAGAACATTGGCTTGATGAACTGTATTATGCCAGTAGACATTAATGTCCCCTCAGACTAGAGTCCTGTTCCCTGAGGCTCAGGAACTCGTTCCATAAGTGCTTGGTTATGTCTAAGGAATTTCTATAACTTTGTTTCCTGTTTGCGCCACCACATTCATGGATGTATTTGCAGCCAAGGTAAGTACACCTATGCAAGTATATATGTTCCCCATGGAGATATAGTCCCATTCTCATGCTTACACCTGTCCAGCCTGCATGTCTATCTACACATATACTCACAGGTCACCACCCTTGCAGGATTGTGTATTCGTGCTGTCATGTTGCTTCTGGTGCCTTTAACTCTCATACACTACTGGGGAACAGTTTTGCAGCAGCCCTCTCATAGGCTGGGCTTGCTAGAGACTATGTGAGACTTCTCAAAGGCTTTTTTGGCAGGCAGTGAGTGAATCACCTTGGAGCTCTCCGTTTTTGGTGGAAGTTTGCACACAAAAAAATGATATAAAAAAAGTATGGCTAGTTTTGTGGCCATGTCCAGATAATTACGATAAAGAGACAAATCCTTTGTGTTCTTACTGATCCCCCTTTCCTGGATATGATCCTGGGACAAGCCAGTGAAAACCTGTGACCTTTCATAGCAGCTTGGTCTGTGATTGAAGAGCTGCCTTCCTAGTACAGAGTAGCCAAACCCAAAGTCCATTCTGACTCATGTGGTTTCCAAGCCTATAAATGTCTGTAGGAGCAAACAGCTTCATCGTTCTCCCACAGAGCTGCTGTGGGGTTTGAGCCTCCATCCAACCTGGGTTTAACAGCTCATGCTTACCTATTAGCCGTCCAGTGCTTACCTGACAGCACGAACAGGTAACCTGAAATCGCCAGGTCTCCAAACATCACACCTATGGAGTGTTTCAGGCCCAGTAGCTTAGTGTCAGAGCAGGCTCGAGGGGCGTTCAGATCTCTGTTGGGCGCGTGATTCATGATCATAGTTGTTTTTCAGAAACCTTCAGGGTCATGCCCTCTTCACATTGTCCAACTGAAAAGTGAGTTCATTAAAACCGGTCGCATGTGAAATCAAGTCTCTGTAGCACTTCCCACCTAACTAAATTGTAGTAGGCACTGACTTTGATTGCCGGGTTTTTAGCTTGCTTTTCTGCAGCGATTCAGCTTTGCTTCTGGTGTCTGGATTTCTCTTCTTGTTTCCTCCGCCTTGTGCCTTGCTTTGATCTTTTGCCAATCTCGTACTTTGCGATTTATTTTAGGTCACGCGATTTTTCTTATGTTTGTGTGCACACATCGCCCATCTCCTGTATACTCGTCCCTTACCCCTATTCTTCTCCAAGCTAGTCTTGTTATAGAAGGACCTCGTGCTAAAGACGAAGTTGTCAGGCAGAGAATGAAAACCTGAATGTCTAGGTTTGGACCAACTGTTATGCTCTACTGACTCTGCGAAGAGCCGGGAAATGATGTAGACCGAGGGCCTCCTCTGGAGTCACTATGGAGGTCAGTGCGAAAAGAAGCTCCGGGCGCCGTGGATCGGCACGGCGGCTGCAACAATGGGCTTACACGCAGCAGCGGTGTTGAGGCTGGCCTGGGCCTGGCGCTGCTTCCTCCTGCTGGAAACAGGCTCGGATGACATCACACAACAACCCGAGCTAGTGGACGTGTGACAGGCATCGCTGGTGTGACCCGGGGGCAAAGAGAATTCACCAACATTTTCACCCTCTCCATTTTTTTCAGGAAGCTTCTGTCCCAGTTGTAATATGTGCCTGGGCGAAGACCTGTGTAACTATGAAATGGAAGAAAACGCCGCACTCTCCAATCCTACACCCAAACTCCATGTGGGGCACCTGTGTCCCACATCACTGTATCAGAGTCCATATTCCTCAAGGCATTTCCCCCTCTGGCTTCAGCGTGCTTTCCAAAATGCCTGGTGTTCACAGAAACGTCAAAGCAGGAAACGGTTTGGTCATGAAAGGGATAAAGAAGTTTTGTTCTCACCCCAGAAGATGCAGCTATGATTAGTCTGGGCTGGGATTTAGGTAACGTTTAACAATTTACCCGTGATTCTAATAATGTAGTGTAGGTTTAAAGCCATTGCTTTATTCTGAAATGTGTACTTGGGAAGGTTTTTTTTAACTTTTATGTAGATTGCTTTTCTCTTTTACCTGGAATGTAGCACCCTGACCACCATGTACGGTTACCTTCACTGAAAACTTTCTTAGTGAGATCCTGTCACTCAGTGTAGAGGGAGCTACGAACAAACGGGCCCATGGAACTCCTCGCTGTGACCTCTGCAAAGGCTCTTCCGTTCACTACCCTCTCTACAGGGCCCCGGCCCTTCCGTGCACTACCCTCTCTACAGGGCCCCGGCAGTGGCGTAGTTGGTTACCAGTTGGGCTGCTACCTGCAAGGTCAGCTGTTCTTTCAAACAGAATAGAAAGAAAATATTTCTTTCAGAATAGAAAGCTGGGCTTTCGAATCCTGTAAAGGGTTACAGTAGCGCACACTCACGGGGGCAGTGAGAGTCACTATGCGTTGGCATCAACTCAATGGCAGTGAGTTCCGTTTTTGATATCCTCTTTATAGGGACTCTTGGGAGATATTAGTCTGTTATCATTAGAAATGGTGTGCTCCTCCTGAATAGTTGCCTTGCCTTTACTTTTTTTGCTTGTTATT